AGGAATTTCTCTGCACACTTTATTACACCTGATTATGTCCCCATTCCCAATTTGAACCCCAAATGGCGGTACCAGTTGGGTTGTTAACTTTAACTCCTGCACCAAGTTATCTGAGATAAAATTATGAGTTGAGCCACTATCAACTAAAATTAGGACCTCTGTTGCGTTTATAGTTCCATGTAGCTTCATTGTAGTGGTGTGTGATTTGCCCAAGATGGCGTGTAGACTAATTTCCGCTAGATCTTCGTGGGAAATAGCCTCTTCTTCTCCCACAACTTGTATGGAATTATCCTTTTCCTCCGTCGCGTCTAGTAATTTGAAAGTCCCTGTTTTACATCGGTGTCCAGGACTGTACTTGTCACCACATCAAAAACATTCGCCCCTTAGGAAGCGTGCCTGTTTCTCAGTATCAGAAATGCGTAAAGGAGGATTCTTTTGAGGAACAGGTGGAGGATTATTGGGAGGATTTGGTTGTGAGGGAGTTTTGAAACTGCCAACAGAAGCAGCTCCTCTTCCTGAACGAGAACATCCAATCTTAGATTCAAATTCAAGGGCTAGGCTCATCGCATTGTACACCGTCCTAGGCTTATGAATCCTGACATCTGCCTTTAACTCCTCCTTGAGTCCATTCAGAAAGACCCCCAGCAGGCAGTTATCCGGCCAATTGGAAACACGAGCAGATCGTTTGGTGAATTCCTGTCTGTATTCTTGGACGGATCCGGTCTGCTTGAGCACAAGTACTCATCTGGATTTTGATATTCAGCAGGACCAAAATTCTTTTGTAATGCCTGAACAAGATCTTCCAGTAGATGATACCCTGGTCCGCATTTAGCCATGAATACAGGTCTAAAGCGTCTCCTTCCAAGTACATGACCGCGATATCCACCTTTTCATCTTTAGGTACATTGTAGTAACGGAAATACTTTTCTGCCTTTAGAATCCAACCTCTAGGATCTCCATCACTAAATATAGGGAAATCTATCTTGTTATAAGGGCGATAAGGACGATTGTTTCTCCAAGAGTATTCACCATCATCGGCAGGATCTTTATGACCACGTTTAAAGCCGCTGTTACTAGAAGATGAAGCATGAGACTTGAGGGCGGCGACGTCGTCTTTCAGGGATTCCATGATGGCTAGTCTCTCGGCGATGGCGGCTAACTGGACGGCAATGGGGTCAGGTTCTACACCCCCGCCTTACGATTGGTTACTCCGGGTTGTTGGTGCCATTCAATTTCCCGGCAATGGAACCAAATGATAAAGCTTGAGCTTGATTGGATTTAGAATGAAAAAGTGTACATCAAGTCCCAATTCGAGAAGGGATAGTCTCCCGATTCTCAAAGGAAAATACAATAAAAGATAATCACATAAGAAAATAACATGACACTAAGTAATAAACCCACTCCCAGGGGAGTTGGTAACTGCCACGTAACCCACCTACTCAGCCACTTAGTGGGTTGTTTGAAATGCCCATTAACATTTTGAGCTGCTCCACTTCTGCCGGCCCACCCTTTGCCATCTTCTTTTTCCTTCTTGAATATACCAATCTGATTGGAGGCTTATCAGGGAATCAGGGGGGGAAGGGGAATGATTACCCCTGAATTACCCTGTCTGTTTGGTTCGGTACAGGAAATGGAATCGAATTCCCTTTGTTCGTGTTTGGTTCAAAATAGGGGAGTCAAATTTGTTATACATAGTTATGATTATTTTGTTAAAAATAATACGTATTCATTTTATCAAACATACAATTAAACAAAACTCATACATCACAACATACTTTAAAGATGATAGATTCATTTCAAAATACATTACTTGTCTAAAACTTCAAAAAACAACAATGCCAACGACACAAGTGGAAAAAAAAACAATCGTCATGAACAAGACAATATCGTCCGAAATAAAGACAACAATACAAGAACCTATATGGCCTTCCTCCTCCACCACTTTCACCCAGAAGGCCTTTGACATACCTCGTTCTCAAAGCACTTGAGCACTTGAAGAAAAGTGTGAGCTTATGAGGTTGGGCTAAAAGGACTTCTGCTGCTGCCAATGCTTCATCGGTACTAATGCCTTCTAAGGCAAGCAGTTCATCCAATACTTTGTCACTCATCTTTGCAAGCTCCATCTCTCGGTCATGGACCTTTGTCTCTCGATCTTCGGCTCTTTTCATGGCATTCGCCATTGCACAAAGATGAACATTCATATTATTCGCAAAGTTTTCAAACTTGATAAATTCAGAACTTCGTGATCCCTTAGCGGTATCAACGCTCTTTCTTCCTCTTTTCACGTTTCACTCTATTTTCACCTTCTTTAAAGGAGGGGCGGAAGATCCATCAGCAGCAACATCGTCATCACTGGATTCGAGGCTAAGTGGTACAGTAGCTTCTTTCTCCAAGTTCTCAACGGCTTCAACAAAGCCCTTGACACACTTTCCAGTAGCATAGTCCATCCCATAATTACTCTCCATTTCATTCAAGTAAGGGAATGGGACACCATACAGATTCCTACAGTTCGGATGAACCTAAAAACAACATATTGGGTTCATGTTTACACTATGAAATCATGGACTTCAATGATAATACTACAAAAAGAAGATAAGAAACGTACCTTACAATACTCATCATGCACTGATTTTTCATCGGCAATTGTATGCTTTTCATCATCCCATTTGAATCCACTTGTTCCCAACATTTGTATTATAGCTCTATACTTTTTAACAAGTATTTTCAACCTCGAATCAATGTGGGGAGTAGCTTTCAACCCACATCCAGGAATGGCCTTGCTTATCAGCTCTTCCTATTTGGACATATATCCATTTCTGAAACCATTCTCACACTTCCAATGAGTATCTGTAGCCATTTCATACAAAGCAACGATGAGAGCTTTATCTTCCTCCGGAGTCCAATAGCGTTTGTTCTGATCCCTTCCGGCGCTACTCGCTTTGTCCTCCTCCATCCTTCTAATCAAGACAACATGACAACATACATAGTCACACAAAACATATTATATAAACACAAAGTTCCATAACACACAACATGGTCCAATAAACACAAAGTTACATAACACACAAAGCACATTATATAAACACAGTTTAATAACACACAACAAGTAATCAAGTTTAATGAAAGTGAACATTGAATCTCAAGTTTAACAAAAAACACAAAAGTTTAGGCTCTGCGAGATCTAGTTCTCCAAGTGTTGAACAAGTTTTGAGCCAATGCATTTCGGAAGTTACTCCATGGATCTGATGTATCAATTGAGCTTATGTACTCCGCTTCATCCTCCCATTCTCCATCATCACTATCTCCATCATCATGTTCGAATAACTCATCATCATCAGCAGGTCGAGATGGCATGTATCTTGCAGTCAAGTTATGTAATAAAGCACAAGCCAAGACGATGCGACTATGTGTTTGTAGGTTAAACCTAGGGCTTCTAAGAATACCCCAACGCCCTTTGAGTTACCCAAAACATCGTTCTATCACATTTCTGGCCAATGTGTGCTTTAAGTTAAAGTACTTTTCCGCGCTTTGTGGATGATGGGTAGCATTGTTCCACTCTCTAATATGGTAAATATGTCCTCTATATGGCGTAAGGAATCCCTCTCCATTAGCGTAGCCAGCATCACATAGATAGTAATAACCTTAACACAAAAAAATCGCTATATTTAAGATACATTATTTAAGGATCCCTAGAACAAATAACATGTGTACTAGTGAGGCTACCTCTTAGGACTTTAAAACCATTAGGTCTAGGTAAAGAATCACGTAGAACTTGACCATTAAGTGCACCTAAGCAATTCTACAAAACACAAATGTCGCAATTAGACTCTAAAACAACTTCATTCTTTCTAAATAACAACACCTGAACGTGAGTACCTTGAAGTGTTTCTACCTTTTGTCGTTGCAGTCTTCCGTTATTGGAGAAGGCTTCTTAAGAAGCACAAAATGCAACTTTATAACTGCCTTTAGACATGCATGAAATTGTCTACTAATAGTTTCACCACTTCTATAAAAATATCCCCCAATCGTTCTATTCTTCTTATGGTGCACCAATGTGTATAAAAAACTTGTTAAATCTCTTCCACGCACATATTCATTGTCTTAGTCAACCCACCTATATCTCTTTCCATCTCACATAAAACGACAATTGTTTGTTGGTTCATCCGGAGAAATCATCATCCCTAATGATTCTATTCAAGTTACGCATTCTCATTTCTCTTCTAGACCTTTTATCTTCTTGAATCGCCTGAGATCGACGCAAAGTTTTACTCAGTAAATCCCACATCATACAACATAAAATCACGCAATTAATCACCAAGAACAACAAGCTATCAAACTTCAATTTTCTCTTACTCCTCTTTCTCAAAGAGAGACTAGATCGAGCCATTCCTGTTCAAATTGTTTTTAAAAAAACTATCAGATCAAATAAAACCAAGAATAAGCTTACTTGATAAAATGAAGAACAAGATGAACAAAGGTGGTGTATTTTTCAAACAATGCATTCTTGAACCTGAAATTAACAAAGAGTACAACATTAAACAAAATATGAGGCAAAGGGAGGCGCAGATTGGGAAAAAATGATGGCCTTTCTAAAGAGTTCAAACAATGATGAACTCTCCAAAGAGGTCCCATTTCTGGTGCACAAAGTTTCCATGGAAAACCGTAACACCCACAAATCCACTACTTTGGCGAATTTTCCTGAGTAGAACCTTTCTACTAGTGCCTTGGCTTTAACTTGCTTCCCCAATTGTTATAGGAAAGAGGGGGAGGAATTGAAGCTAGGGGTGGACACGGTACGGTTCCGGGACGGTTCCGTTTCCGGAACCGCCGGTTCCGGTTCCGGAACCGCCAGTTCCGGTACCGCCGTTTCCGGTACCGTTTCGGCCACCCCTAATTTTGTTTTTTTTTGCTTTTTTATTATATTTTTAAAATGTAAAATTGTAAATGTGTAATTGTTAAAGGAAATGATGAAATAAAAAAATCTAAAAATGAAATTGATAAAGGAAAGAATGAAATAAAAAAATAAAAATAAAAAAAACGGTAACGGTACCGGAACCGGAACCGGAACCGCCGGTGCCGGTACCGAAAAATGGGCACCGGAACCGGTACCGGATTGGGCGGTACCGGTACTGATTCCCGGAACCGGTGGACCGTACCGGCCGACGGTAACGGTACCGGAACCGGCGGTACCGTTTCCGGTACCGGTACTGTACCGGTACCGTGTCCACCCCTAATTGAAGCTGGAGGGGGAGGGGGAGGAAACAAAGCTGGAAGGAGGAGGAACATACCTGGGCTGTGATGCGGATGGAGTGGCGGTGTGGCGGCGAGATGCGGTGTGGCGGTGGCTGGAAGAGAGTGACGTGCTGCGCTAGAAGAGATTGATAAAAGGGAGGCGCAAATTGGGTAAGAAATGGACGGGGAAGAAGGGTTAGGAAAAAACAGAAGCGAGGGGAATGGGAAACCCCGATAGGGATCGGGGAATCTAAAGACGTGAAACGGAGTAATCCAAAATGGGAAAATGGAGAAACGGAATGAACTTTTTTTAAACAAACCACAACAAACGAAATCGAGGAATCCCATTCCCTATCCCGTTTCCCTTACCCTTGAACCAAACACCCCGTAAATATAATGATGAGGATTTCATCATCACTTCATTAGCAGCCTTTTTGTTTAAAAATTGATGAGAAGATATTACTCCATAATTCATTATTTCCCACCACTTGTAGATGGTGCTGTTTTCACTCCCAACGGCTATTAGGTTTCCAGGTTTCCATTTGTCATTCCAAAATGAATAGTATATGGTAACATACATTATACTCCCTCCGTCTCTGAATAAATGACTTTCATGGAGTTTAAGAAGAGTGTTAAAAAGTGAAAAGGAGTGGTTAGAATTTGATGAGAGGAGAGAAATTTTTTTGGCCACAAAATTCTTGCCTTTTAAGGAAAGTGAAGATTATTTTGGGATGTCCTAAAAAGGAAAGAAGGAAGATAATTTAAAGACAGAGGGAGTAGTGTTTTGCTGCAGCATCTTGTTCACCAAATGCAGTTTTCTTCAGTAGCTTGTAGTTTGAATTTTTCTGCTTAAATAAAAATATATTTAGTATGAATACTACCCCCTTTGCTCCATGAACAGGTTTACACAATGGCTTTAAGAAAAGTGTTTATTGTTGAAAAGTAAATACTGGGTGGTTAGAGTTTGTTTGGAAGAGATTATATTTGAGCATCATATTCCTTTCCTTAAAATCAAGTGTACACTTTATTTATGAGTTCGTTCGTGCCATTTACCCCAGGAGGCTAAACAAATTGTGTGGATTCCCCCCTGAAAATTGCATCAATAGTCCCCGAACATTTAAAAACGTTGCATCAATGGTCTCTCTATGCCAAATTTGGGAGCGCGTTAATCACACGCTCGTCAATATACCTGTTGGAGTTTGATGAAGATGCCATAGATTGATGAAGAAGTTGATCGTATGATTAATGCATTTCCAAATTTGGCGTAGAGGGGCCTTGGTTCAATTTTTAAAGTTCAGGAAGAATCCATGTAATTTTGGAGGGTTCGGGGGTAAATTACGCAATAAACTCTATTTATGGACAGATGAAAAAGAAAAGTTTAAACTTCACTATGGGAAATAGGGAGCAAACCTACATTTAGCTTTCCCAAGCATAGGAACATTAACTTAATCCATAATACTACTTGGTTTTTAATAGTTTAAAAGGCGCCCATAGCTGGTTGAACGACTCATTTTTGACAATGTTTTAACTTGAGATATACTCTGTAATAGGCTAATGCCCCATTCTTTTGAGTTGGCATTCGATTCATCGAACTTTGCCCAGTTTCTTTCAACTCACTCCAATTCTTCTAGTGTTTTCCAACTTTTAGTTTTTTAACCTTTGGCAACGTTTCTTAGTTTTTTCCCACTTCTATTAAATTCCAATAGTTAAAAAATATTTTTACAAGATTTCAAGTAAATCTTTAAGGGAAAAAGACTAAAGTAGGAATAAAACATTGAAAATATACCAAAATAAGATTTTTCATGTTTTTATTCCAGAAATAGGAGTTAAAATGCATTTACATTACCAATCGATCATGTACATTACGTAAGATGCACATTACGTAAAATGCACATGTACAGTGTCACATTTCCACAATGCGGACTCCTATTTAGGGAATAAAATCATGGAACTCCTATTTTGGTACTTTCTCTATTTTGGTACTCCTATTTTACTCCTATTTAGGGTGATTTCTTAATTTTTAACTTTCATGGGTTAATCAAGTATTTGCCATCAACAATATATTTGTATTTAAATTTCTTTTATTGTGGACTCCTTTAATTATGAAAGATTTTATCAATAAATTTAAATTACGTAAAAATATCAAAAAATAATATAAAATGTGATATACTCCCTCTGTCTAAAAAAGTTGTGTGAACCACAAAATTCCTTCCTTTAAAGTAAAGTAGCTTGTTATTGGGACAAAGAAAAACAGAAACGTGGAATCTTTTTTATGGGACCAAGGGAGTTCTTTGTTTCAAACAAACAAACAACAAAACCCAGTAAAATTCCAGAAAGTGGGGTCTGTGGCGATGGGTGCCGCAGATGTTACCCCTACCTACCTAGAAGGTAAAGATATTGTTTCAAGAGACCCGCTCAACACACAAAGGAACTGGTAAGCACAATCAACAAATAAAAGCAAAATAAGAAGAGATTAAAAAAAAGATAACCCAGCGCACACTCTACTGGCCTACTACAGTAAGCTAATGCAGCAAGTCCCAGACGATGATAAACCAGTCCTACCCAGGCTACCCTACCACCCTAATCCTTCAACTCCTAGCGCTCTTATCTAAAGCTATATCCTTTGACTTCATAAGCCGAAAGTCATCTCTACTTACCCCACTCTAACTCTTAATAGGTCTATGTGACTACCTCTACTCAAATTCCCAACCTCAAGGCTCAAGCCTCATACTTCCTCCCTGGAGTTTGATTACTTCTCAGCACGCTCCTAAATAATAGAAATCATATAATTGCCTCCAATTGGATTTGGTCCTAGGCCAGAGGTGAAGACTGAAGAAGACCTATGCTCTTCCATTTCGACAATGGGCACTTTCTTGCCCCTTTTATGCTTTTCCCTTACATTTACTATGAATTTTTTTGCATGGGATTTTATGTGACACTTAAAGTAAATATAGGGTTATCACAAAGTTGAATAAGATAAACACATAAACACAAAGGTAAGGTCAAGCGTTCTTTTTCTCTTTTATTTGCTCTCTTTTTATGTATGTGTATGCATGTCTGTGGGTACACATACGTATGAATTTGTATGTACCCTTTTATCTTCTCCAATTTGCTTGTCAAACTCATTTATATGCTGTACCCTACTTGGCTACAATATCGGCATTGGAATTTATTATTTCTTGAAATTTGAGCTCGTGACACAAATTTACAGCTGAGACATCCAAAAGGAAGCCCCCTCAAAAATCACTGCACACTGGATCTGAGAGTGAGTTTTACTCAACCAATCTCTCCTGACATGTTTCAAGTAAATTTAAAATAGAAAAACTAAAAGACGGATCTACATTGTGTTTCAATAGCAGGCAAGGAACAATCGTGACAAGCGGAGGCAATGACAAGGCATGTGTGGAATTATAGGTATTAATGTACTACGCGAATATATATGTATGTTGAGATTTTTATTGCTTTCCCTATGTTAGAAAGGCTGTCCATTTTTGCATTACTTGATGATCACTTGATGAATGGTTAATGAGTTTGATAATTATGCTTACAGATGATTTTTCAAGCAATATATTGGATTTGCAACTCTTTTGTGCAATAAATGAATGGTGCAAGACCACTGTATGATCTGAATTCTGTTTAGTATGCAAATACTAAATGGCACGCAGACATTAGTTTTTGTTTAAATATGCACTGATTGCATGAATCCCGGCTCCCGAGATGCCAAGCAATTTATGGTGTTTGCTTTGAATTTAACTGTCAGTTTTTTGGGGTTTGAGATTTTGGGAATCCCCACAAATATAAATTTCACAGGTAGAGATGAGACATTTTTAGTGTGAGTGGAAGTAGGGAGCCCACCAGTATATACATACATAGGCATTGTTTGGCAAGTAAATTAAGTTTTTTTTTGTCAGAAAAAAAGTTTATTTTTGAAATAAATGATTGATGAAACAGCTCTGGGAAATGTTTGGGCAATTACTTTTTGGTTACAAAATATTGGTTTGGGAAGAGCTTGTTTTTCAAGCTTTTTGAAGATCAGTTTACAACCTTTTACTTGATTTTATTTAGAAGTGGGCATTAACAATTCACTTAACCAAATACTCCCTCCGTCCCCCATAGATCTTCTCATTAGCCCTTTTTATTTGTCCACCATAGATCTTCTCATTACCTTTTTTAACACTTAAAATACCACAACTACCCCCACTTACTTTATTTATTACATCTCACCTACCTCATTTAATACACTCCACCCATTTTCATTAAGGGTATTATGGTAAACTTTCACCTTTTTTCAACTCTCCTAAAAAACCGCAAAAAGTCAAAACGAGAAGATCTTAGGGGGACGGAGGGAGTACGTAACAGTTTACTCAGACACCGAACACAAAGATTTCTAAAAGTTTGGGAATTTTTTGTTTTATTTCATTTTATTATGTAACTTTGGGTATATTTATTTGAATAGATCATTAATCAAAAGGTTTGGCACATGAAAATAAAACCAAATAATAAAAAATGGAAGGAGTAATGCCATCTGCCCTTGGGAATTGGCTACAACTGCATTTTCCAATTTCATCACGGCTTCATTTTGACCAAAGATCCCGAATTTTAATTGTTTCCCTATTGTTAAAAAAATTCTTTATTTATTCTTGTTAATCGTTTGTTAAAATAAAACAATCATGTTTTATAAAACTAAAATTAGACGAGGCCATTTAAGCTGGAATTAAGTAAATTAGAATTAGACCACACTATATCAGCTTTAAAAAAAACTATATCAAATTTTCTTTTATTCAGTTTATTTTTTTAAAAACTAGATTAGATTAAATCAAACAAGATCAGTCGATAATAACCGAGTATAATGTAAGACGTGCATTCCGTATTTATTTTTTTAAAGAGTAAATATGCATCCATTTATTCACAAACGAAGCACATGCATGCAATATACTCTTGTGATAGTATATATCTAGCTATAAGAGTAATTATAAATAATGTATGTCATCTACGATCAACAACTTTCAAATAATACATGATTGAACTATTTGGTTATTCTTTTGAGCCTAACCTTGAGACCATGTCTCATGTAGAGAATAATAGAAGCGTTTGGCTCCACCGGGTGGCCTTCCACAACCCTAACTTGGTAATTATGTATGATTGAGGCAGCCACGGCCTTCATTTGAATGAAAGCCACTTCTTTCCCCAAACAAGTCCTTGGCCCTGCATTGAATGCCAAGAACTTGTACGAAGGCTCGTGCTTTACTGTCCCCCGCTCCGAAATCCATCTTTCTGGCTTGAACTCGCATGCGTCCTCTCCCCATATAGTCTCCATCCTCCCCATTGCGTATAGCGAAAACATTATTTTCATCTTAGGATGGACTAAGTGGCCACTCGGGAGGGTGTCCACCTCGGTTGGTTCCTTGTGCTGGAAGGGAACTGGAGGGTATAATCTCAAAGATTCGCATAATGCAGCGTGTAGATAGACCAATGTTTTGAGTTCTTGCTTGAAAACCCTCCATTTGTGGAACTCCGAGGGAGGAGTTATTAGGGTTTTGAGCTCATCTCTTATTTTTGCCTCGACACGAGGATGGGTGGAGATCAACCATATGAACCAAGTGAGGGCTGAGCTGGTCGTGTCACGGCCCGCAATCATCAGGTTCATGACCATGTCTCTCAAGAACTTGTCGTCGTCTAGCTTCAACCCCATCATCGACTTGTCGTCTTTCTCGTCCTTGCTTTCTATCAAGTAAGAGGTGAGTAGATCACAACTCTCGTCAGTGTCCTGCTTCTTTTTGGACATCAATTCTCGTCGCTTTTGGCTATGTATTGTCCTATGACTTGATCCAACGTCTTTGAAGCACATCTCAACTTCTTCTCTCCTCCTACTCCTGCCCACCTCTGCACCTTCCATATCAACTCCGGGACGACGTGCCGAACGAGAATGGCTTCCTCTGCATCATCCATCGCCTTCGAGAACGGGACCTCAGGGAAATCGATGGACACGCAGCCAGGATCATACCCCGTGAAGAGAATACAACTGGTGTCGAACGTGAATCGCTGGAACAAGTCTTGCAAGTCCAATACCATACCGTTGTCGGACGCGTGCTCCAAGACCTTCATCAGCCCTCTCTCCACCTTCTCCTTGCTCGTCTGCACCAGAAACTTATGGAACCGCATGTGCGTGATCAACCCCCGTGCGATCTTCCTCTGGGCCCGCCACGGGTCCAAGTCGGCGTTGAAAATCCCGTCCCCCAAAACGTCAAACATCTCCTTGAACTTGGGGCCTTTCGGGAAGTTCAAGAAGTTGGCGCTCATGATGTGGTGCACGTTTGCGGGGTCGACGGTGACCAGGATGTCCATGTTGGCGAGCCACGGCCCTTTGTAGAGGAAAGTGCCGCCGGATCGCCGCATGGTCACCGTGGCCCTCTCGTGGATTTGGTTTATGTAATATAGAGTGCCCGGCAACATGCCAAGAAAGGGATAGCTCCGGGGAAGCCCCTTCTTCTCTTCCCTCCATAGGTAAAACATCAACAAAAATGCAACTCCTAGCAATATTTCCCACCACCCTATCTCTATTTCTGCCATTTCTTCTTCTTCTTATTTATTTTCACTTTTTTCTAAATGCATGTTTGATTACAACACTGCATTTATATATATTGCATCTATACTTATACACATTACACACACGTAGACAAAAGTAAAGAGACGAAGATGATGTCACCTTCTTGACTAATACCCTAGCTCCATCACTCTTACATTTTGGAACTAATAACCCCCACCAAATACATATTTTTTTTGTTTTTTTTATACATAAAATAATGTACGGTTTCTAGTTTCTTCTTCTTCTTTTACTTACCTCAGCTCCCTGTTTACAGAAAAATAATGCATGCACATTTAATTTATGATTAAGATATTATTTTATTTGTACATCATTTTTTCTTCAATTCCTTCCCAAAAAATCTTCTCAATTTCACCTTTCATCCATCCCTAAAAATATTTTTACTTTCAATTAAAATCTATTTTTTACACATACTAATTATTAACCTACCTACCTATCAGATAAAATCTATTTATTCTTAATTTATGCATCACATCCTATCCTATTCTACAATAAAGTAAGTGCAAAATTTGAAAGTAACAACAAAATTATCATTATTTAAATCCTACTTTTTTCTAAAGTGGAAAAGTTTTATTGGACATAGTCTTATCTACCTTTAATAAAAAAAAGTCAATTTGGCAATAAATAAAATTGATACTCCTAATTTTATTTTTTATTTTTTATTTATATTTGTACTCTCATTCATTAGGTTTCAGAAAGAACTTACACGTTTCATTTTGGACGTCTTAAAAAAGAACATTGCATGCACCTCCTTTTTATGAAATGAATATGTCATTTTTATCATTAGTTTATTTTCTAAATACATTTTAATCACATAAGATTATACGGACTATTTTTCACTCTTCACTAAAAATAATTCACCTGTTTTAATATTTAAAATCATGTTCCATTTTCCAAAGACCTTAGTTCAAATCTAGCTCATGAGGTAAGTTTTCTTTTAAAAGAGTTGACATTGTATGAATTAACTTAGCGTTGGTCCACCGGCCTCTCGGTATAACTTTTTTTAAAAAAAGATTTATTATTATGTTGTGAGGAATTTCAAGCTGAATAAAATTTGAGATTAATATGTCAGATTCTTAGATGTAGAGTAGAGTTCTGTTTGAGTTTAATTTTTCTGAATTAACGGACAAATATTGATGATCAATTATACACACTACTTCTGGCTCATAAAAATCTGACAGTTTGACTTCAGAGAGTTAAAGAAAATTGTTGCCAACTTATAATTGTGTGGTTTGGATTTGTTTAGAAGAGAGGTGATTGTTGATAGCCACATATTCATTATTAAAATAGAAAATAAACGGTAAATTAATGTTCTTTTTGAAACATTCAAATTCTTTTATAGGGCGGGATAGAAGAGTATATATAAAAATTGATGGTTAAAGAGTCGGTAAATTCATGTACAATTGGGGTCTGGGGACACTTCATTCTCTTTTTTAAATAACTCTACAAGATTCATAACCTCTTTTTAAATCACATGCAAGTTAAACTACACAAAGTTTTTATGAATTTAAGAAATAGCAAGGGACTCTTTGATCACCTACATTACTACATATATTAAATAATGAAACTATATGTATGTCATGCTTTCATGTTCATATATATTTGGATTTTAATTTCCTTAGCAAATTTAATTATAAGCAAATGATATAGATGTTTTTGAGGAAGGGCAGTTGTGGAAAAAAGTAATTCCAAAATAATTATAAGCAAAGGAGTACATGGTATGCATGCATTACCGATATGCGGTTGCCGTTGGTAGTTGGTCCATACATTAATTAACACTGCATATGCTGTCACGGGTCATGTATATATATACTCCCTCCGTTCCACAAAACTCTTCCTCTTTCGTTTTTTTTTGTTTTCCACAAAACACTTCCATTTTCTATTAAAAACCATTTTTACCCCTACTTTTTCATACCTTACCTATCACATCATACTTTTTCACTAATAACCAAACTATCACATCTTACTTTTTTCCATCACATCAGGGGCAAAATTGGAAAGTCAACCAAAATTACACTTTCCTTATTTTTTCCCAAAGTCAAAACCAGAAGGGTTTTGTGGAACAGAGGGAGTACTTCAATTCCTCGTCCATCCTATTATGATTACAAATTACAGAAAACGAATAAAAATTTTAAATTTTTTAAATTCATTTTACTTAAAGATTGAGGCATAAATAAAAAATGAAACTTACATATTTAAAAATTACATCAAAAATTTTGCAAAACAAGATGTTAGAAAAATATTTTACTTTTCAAATAATCAATGAAAATACACAAATAAACAAAAGTTATCGTGATTTGGGAATATTAAACATTGTACTGTAATCAATTATATCAATTGTGAGAAGGAGGAAGTATACTAGAGTCCAGTTTGACTACACCCGAAATATATATACATGATAATTTGTATCGGAGAGTTTATCAAGGATAAGATTATAAAAATTGGGTTGTAATGGTTTTACACCGAAGGGAAGAGAGGCCAAGGGATCATACGATGCCATGGGGATGATCGCTGGTCGAGGACCATAGAGGCGAGGTATCGTCGATGGAAGATGGGAGCTGAGAAGGACGGCGGCTGCTAGGCACACACTTCTCAATCGTCTATCGCTGATTAGGGTTTAGGGAGAAATCCTACGCTAATATGATACAATTCGGTAATAACTAGTCTTATGAATGATGAGGATTCTATATATAAGGGATGCAATATAAAGTATTTCTTAGGCCAATGTAAAATGACAAAAAAAAATTCATCCCAAATGAGTATTTAAAATATTGAGGAAAAGTTATCCAGAATAATCCCAACATTACCCTGTTTTTCAAAAATAACCTCACCTTTCACTGTGATATATAATAATACAATCTCTACTGAAATTTGCGAGTTTTGGGTTGCCGCTAAGTTGCTAAGAGTTGGTTAACGGAAATGGCTTGTTTTGTGAAACAAAATGAAAATTGGGATTATTTTTGATGATTTTTTTTTTTAATTTTTTTAAATTTTCATTTAAATTTTTAGAATGACTTTCTACCTCTTTTTTCTAAAGATTAGTGTTACCTTAGAAAAAAATAAAAAAATAGATATAAAAATAGTAAAAATGAGAAAAATAATTAAAATCATACAAAATTAATGAAATAAATAAAGTATTTAATAAAAACTAAACTGAAACTGGTAAAAAAAATAAAAATATAAGAAGTGATGGGTTCTAACATTATACGCACTATACAGAGTATTAATTTACTACTTATTATTTTTTGAAAGAACATGTAAAATTATGATTATTCTAGATAAATTTTTAAAAAAATAAAAAGAAGTGGTATATTAATACTCTGTATAGTGCGTGAAATGTTAAAATCCACATCTCTGTATATTTTTATTTTACTTCTTACTAGTTTCAAGTGAGGCATTATTGATTACCTTATTTATTTCATTAATTTTGTATGGTTTTGTTATTTTCTCATTTTTGTTACTTTTTTTTATTTTTTCCTAAAGTAAGACTAATCTTTAAAAAATAAAAAAATGATGGAGGTAGGAAGTAAATTTAAAAATTTAAATAAAATTTTTTTAAAAAAAAATTTAAAAAACGAAAACTTTTCAAGAATAATCATAACTTTCATTTTGTTGCGCAAAACATGCCTTAAAGTTGGGATTATTATGCATCATAGTGAAAGATGAGATTATTTTTGAAAGACCGGGTAAAGTTTGTTAGTCGATGTGGTCACGTCTTAGAGAGGGGTGAATTAGGCGTTTAACTATTTTCAGGATGTAATAAAATCAATGTTGGCAATTGCAGAAACAATGTAAAAACACAGAGAATTAAAAGCGTAAAATAAATAACACACATATTTTGTACTAGTTCGGGAAATCTCTACTCATGTTTTTAAGTCTCTTCCTTAAGGATTTTCGAATCCGCTAAGTCTGAGCCTCTTGAACTCCGTCAAACACCGTATAGGTACTAGATTTTTGGCAAACAACCCTTGCCAATAGGATTCACCCCGAGATTTCACAACGGCTATCTCGAACACAACAAAGATTTGCAGCCTATCTTCAATCATTCCCCCCATGGATTTGAAGGCTATCCTCGAGGGTTAGACTCTCTAAAACAATACAAGATCAATCTATGAATGTGAGAGTATAGACGTGTAATCAAAAGCTCAATGTCTGTTTAAAGATATGAAGAAAGGCTCATGGAATAGTCAAAATAATAAAAAATGAAGAACAAGACTATGAACACACTTGAAACATGAAGTATATAGTTGGAGAGCTTGTATTGATAATCAAAATCAATGAGAATGGTTGGGTATTTGTTGGATTGGATTAGGAGCCTTAGATATGAAAAATATAGCTGTTGAGAGGCTCCAAATACCATAAGTAAGTTAATAAAACCATTGGAGAAATATTCAATTTGAAATATGACCATTATAGATTATTTTAGGCTAAAAACGTGCCCAGATGATCCAGGGGTTCGGTCGTTGAGGATCCATGGTCGATTGTGTTTTATTGCAACGATAAAGTTTAGCTACACACCCACAAAATGGTTGACCGTTGCTCCAAAATGGTCCTACTGCTCGACCGTTTGTAGTCCAGTGCATTTTTGATACACAGAACCCAAGATTTTAGTAAAATGGCCATAACTTTTTCAATACTTTTTAGAATTGAGTGATTAAAAAACCGGCAATCTCTTATTGAAAATATCTACAAGTTTTGTGTTGTTAGTTTTTCAAAATTCACAAAATATAGGATTTTAAAATATTTAATTGATTATTTTACTAAAAATATATATACCAACGGAAAATATTTTTACACGTGTGTAACTTTGAGTTTAGAAAATCATTTTAAGTAGACCGGGCAAAACAGAACCGGAACCGATTACCCAAATCGAATTATCCAAAACTGAAATCGAAATGATCCGAAAAATGAAGATTCGATGCATAATCGGAAATCCGAAATACTCCAAATCGAACCGAATCTGAAATAAATATTTCATATCCAATTTAAATTCGAAACCGATCATAT